ATCAGCAAAGCTGTCAGAAAAAATAAATAAGCAAATATCTTTAAGGCCTTGGAGTAGGCAAAAAAATTCTTAGGATATATGTGCTAACTATAAATGAAAAAAAGATAAATTCTACTAAATTAAAATTAAAACTGTTCATCAAACTTCATGATTAAGAGAGTGAAACCAAGGAGAAGAAAGTTTTACTATACATATGTGACTCATATCCAGGATTTCGAAAGAACTCCTAAATAGCAATAAGAAAAAGGCAGACAACCCGAAAGAAAAATGAGCAAAGATTTGAACAGGCAATCACAGCAGGATATCCAAATAAACACTGAAAGGCTTTCAAATGTTAGTCATCGTGGAATGCAAACTAAAACCACAACACGATTTCACTACATCCCAAATTAAAAGGCAGATAGTAGCGAATGTGGACAAAGATATGGAGTGACTGAACTTCCATACATCCCAAGAGGGAGTACAAGTTGGTACAATCATTTTAGAAAACGATTGGACAGTATTGACTAAAGCCAAGTATAAGGGAACCCATGAACCAAGAATTCTAGTACACACACACACACACACACACACACACACACCCCTTCATCCAGTATTTGGTATATATATATATATACACCAAGAGAAACACATACAGATGTTCTTCTTATTACATTTGTAATCGCCCAAAACTACAAACAATCCAAATGTCCATCAGCAGAATGGATAAATATAGTATAATATATGCATAGTATATAAAATACTTTTTCACATAAACTACAATTAACTACAACTACATGTAACAACATTTATAAATATCACAAGCATAATACTAAGTAAAAGAAACCAGATACAAAGGGTACATCCTGTATCATTCTTTTATGTGACATTCAAAAGCAGCTAAACTAATCTGTGGTGTTAGAATGCAGGATTACTGATTATCCTTGGCAGGGAGTGCCTGAAAAGGAGAGAGAAGGCAACTTCTGGGGTTTTAGTACGGATCTGTTTTTTCAATATAGCTAGTGGTTATACTGGTGTGTTCACTTTATGAAAATTCACCAAGGCATACTTTTCTACATGTATGTTAACTCAAAGCTACATCAGATATAGTTATATATATATGTATGTGTGTATAACATATATATACACACACATACATGCACACACGTATGTAAAATACAATGTAAATGTGTTTATACACACACACACACACACATATATTCCATCCAAAATGTAACCTCTCCTGACCTCCTCTGCTGTTCTCTCCACTCCAAGACTACTGCAAAGCTGTCCGCACTAACTCCTCTGTGGCTTCCCTGCAAGTCTTCTCGTGTAGCCAGAATCATTTTCAAAACAGAAGCCAGGTCATATGTGTCCTTGGCTCATCACTGGAGGTAACTTCACCTGTCAATCAGAATAAAATCCTCAGAGGAGACATATACCCTGACAGCCTATATAAAATAGCCTCACTACCCACACCTGTCACTTTTATCCCTTTAGCTTGCTTTATATTTCCTTATAGTTCTAATTACCAGCAGACAAACCATTTAGTAGGCTATTTATTTATAATTGGTCTCTCCACCACTAGTATGCAAGCTACACGAGAGCAGGGATTTTATCTTTTTGCTTTATATCCTTAACATCTAAAACAGTGCCTGGCATAAAGTAGACAATGAACAAACGAACGAATGAATGAATGAGATCATCACCAAAAAACAAAGGAAATATGCAGAATATGTATGTTTAGCCTTCTTTTATAGGCTAGGAAGCTAAAAGAATGAAATTACATTAGGAAACAAAAAATGAAATTACTTACTTGATGTTTTCAGGAGTATAGTCCAGGTCTTCTTTTCTTCCCCCCCCCCCC